AAAAAACCTGAGGCATCCTGGTGGAATCAGATATTCGTAAAAATAGTCAAATAGAAGAAATCGGCATTTTTCTGTCCGTGAGGCAGTTTTATCGATTTTTGTGGGGGATCGGAGGTGCAGAACACCGTTTGTATTCATTTTGAAACACATTTAATTTTGTCATGTTCTGGTTTGACCGAGAAACGTTGTGCAGTTTCCAAGGTCTCGCAAGCTTTGGAAGTCACCAAACTTTAGCAACCATTTTCTCGCTAATTTTTCCCCTTACACCTGCCCACAAGCACATCCTCGTATTATTTGTGAGGCAGCGTGGTGGAATCAGGCTCTTGTCAAAATAATTAAAGTGAAGAAACTTGCATTTTTCCGCAGGTTTGTGAATTTTTATCAATTTTTTTGTTTGGCCTCAACACCTTTCATGCCCATTAATAAAGAACTCATTTCTGAGTGGATTTTTCTGCAAAACGTTGAATAAAGGCACAAAAAAAGTAAATTTTCAGTTACCGCGGACTCTTAAGCTAAGGAAATAACTAATCTTTGGCGGCCATTTTCTCACTAATTTTACCTCTGAAAATAAGTGACCCCCCCACCTCCTTCTTTCGCAAATATCTCGACTTGTATTCAAGATAAATGGGGTTTTTTTTCATCCAAATAAAGACTAGTGAACAAGCTTTAAGATGATACCAATAACTCTACATGCCCAAAAATTGACGAGATCCTGATTCCACCACGCTGCCTCACATTTATTTTTGATTACTAGTCTGTGGACTAGTGATCATCTATTCCTGATTTCATGTACTGGTCTGTTGACTAATGGTCATCTATTACTGATTTCATGTACTGGTCTGTTGACTAATGGTCATCTATTACTGATTTCATGTACTGGTCTGTGGACTAGTGATCATCTATTACTGATTATATGTGCTGGTCTATTGACTAGTTTAGTGGTCTTTTACTATTGATTCTATATAAAGATCTATTGACTAATTTAGTGGTCTTTTACTATTGATTCTATGTAAAGGTCTATTGACTACTGGTCAACCTGAGAAAAAACAAATTATCTCCGTCTTTTGTTCTTTTTTCAACAAATCTAGTTTCAATTTGGTTGTCAATTAAAAGTCTTGACATTGATCCCTTGATTGATTTATATTTTATGACCATTGTCATTTTGTTAAATCGTTTAAATCCTGGTTATCAACTGATGTTGTTAAGATTGACTTTAGAAATAAAGTTCACAAGCCAAGCTTAAAGACGCAGCACAGGCAGAAGAAAACGTCCTCAAAAACCAGGTGTGCTCGGTAGCGGCACTTATTTATACCGAGAAGACCCAAAAAGACCCGAAAAGACAGCCGAAAAGACCCTAGAAGACACGAAAAGACACTAAATGACACGAAAAGACACTAAATGACCCGAAAAGACATACATGGTTTATTTATTCATTGTTTATATATTTGTTGTTTATTTATTTGTCACAAAGAGATACTTATTTATACCGAGAAGACCCAAGAAGACAGCCGAAAAGACCCAAAAAGACCTGTCACAAACAGTGTACGTCTTTTCGGGTCATTTAGTGTCTTTTTGTGTCTTCTCGGGTCTTTTCGGCTGTCTTTTCGTGTCTTCTCGGGTCTTTTCGGCTGTCTGTTCGTGTCTTTTCGGTAAAAAAATAAGTAACTCTTGGTAGAATTGAGTTTTTCTTACATTCATTGACAAAAGTATGTTTGATGCAGCTAATTATACTTTTAATATAGGCTCCGTTTAAAATATTTTAGGCTTTCTTTTGCCCGACTACTACCTGTCGAAATAAATGTACCTGTTCTAATGGTCTAGAGGGGAATGGGATTACGTGAACTCGTCCAGAAGGGACGCACTCAATTTTTTTAGTAGAGGGTTTTACGGCGCTTGCAACTGCATAAGGTCATATGAGCGCCAAGGGGTGGGTGTCAACAGAGAAGTCTTTACAGGGAATCAGACTTAGACTGCTCACCTCTCTAGCTTTAACAGCACAAGATCTGCTTCGACTATCAAGGCACCACGGAAATAGCAGGTCACAAGAGAGTGATAAACATACAAAAAAAAGTAGAGGAAATGACAATAGTAAGGATCAGGAAAGAAAAAGCAGCAGTTCCCTGTTGTAGATCAGGCATAGTTATGAACGTGACATGAGTCAGCCCATTTACAATTCTACTATGCTTGAACGATAATTGTTCCCCCCCCCTTTGGGAATGGCCTAAAGACACTTCAGTC